TTATCCAGACTACCAGAGAAAGCATGATTGTAATCAGTCAAACGTGATTATTGTAACATTTCACAGTTTATAAAATAATTAGACATCCAACAGAGAGCTTTGGCTTTGAGCAAATTGAGGTAAATTTCTTCAAGTATGCCATATCCAGGACGCATACAACATTCAAATCAATAAAAATGAAAACTTTAGGCTCAAAAAGGCAAGAAAATCCCTGTCACAAGCCTCCTTTCCAAATAGTAGTCCTCCTATCTGAAACTAAAAACTAAAAAACAAGAATTTCTTGAAGCATCAGAAAACCAGGCGCAAAACAAAGCTCATCGCGTAAAACCCTTCACAAAAGATGCAAAAGTTTAGCACAAATTAAGCAAGAAAATCTATAAAGCAGGGGCCAACTGATATAAATTTTTTCAAGAATTCTTTCAAGCACACATACAAGGTAGAGATCAATGCAAACAAACTGATCAAATGAAATAAAATTCAAATCCTATGCTCATATTATACAAGGAAATATCAACATGGGGTTGAGTAAAAAAACACAACAATGTATTAACAAAGCAATAAATCAAAGATTTCAACTTTCCAACAACAACATATCCCATGTAGTCCGACAAAAGGAAGTTGGAGGAGGGTAGAGTGTACGAAGACCTTACCCTTAACTTAGAGGTAGAGAGATTGTCTCCAATACACCCTCAGCTCAAAAAAAAATACAGATCAAAGAATCATATATCCGGGTACAACACAAAGCAACTTAAAAACAGAAAATTTAAACCAATTTGTAAGCTCACAGTAAACAAGAAAATCTAAACATCAGAGACAAATTAAAACAATCTTCTCAATCAGGTAACAGAACAAACCAGAACTTAAGCTCAAACCAGACAGACCCAAAAAAAGATTGAACCTAATAGTGCTAAATTCCTTCAAGAATCACAAAAATTTCAAATTTTTCAGCTCAATTTCAAGTAAAACAACTAAACATAACCAGACATGAATCAAAACCCACAAAAAGTTCACATTTTTTTAGCTCAATTATAACGATTACCAGCATTTCCACAGCCAACCATGAGTACCCTTGAAGATGTAGAAACATAATGGCGAACAAACGGGCGAAGAGCAGAATAACGTTGATACCAATCAAAAGAACCTGCTTCTTGAACATACCGTGAATCCCAGTAAAGGGCATCACCGTAATTGTATGTATTGCAAGATGACACGTCACGCAACATCATAAGCCTTTTTTTTTCAAATTTTGGTTGGTTTCCGGTGAAATGAACGGCGGAGAACGCCGTGTACGGTGGTTTAAAGTGTCTTTTTTTTAGGTGGAAATCTGAGCCCTTGTGTCACAAATGTGTGGAGGTGGAAGAGGGACAAGAAGTGAAATTTACGCGTGGCTTTGTGGTGGTTGACTTCCCAAATTTTAACAGTTATATATATTAATTCTTTTAGTTTTCAAAATTTAAATAGAACTATTTTTTATCTTAATTTTTTAAAAAAAATTTCCAAATATGTCGTAACTTATAATATTTTTTATATATGGTGTAAATATATAATTTTATTTCAAAAAATAAAAAATTTTATGGGCGAAATCCAGATCAAATTTAAATGGTTTGATTAAAAAACAAATGTAAAAAGAAATATAATTAATTATTCTTGTTTTGTCTTGCATTTTTTATAAACCCATTTAAATTAAAAATCAAATCAAATTTTATATGATAACTTTTAAATACTAACTTTGCATAATATATTTTAAGGTAAAATAAAAATACGATAGTTTGAGTTTGTTTGTATGTTTATTAGTAAAATTTTATAATTCTAAGTGTATAACCAGAAAAAATAGAATATATTTAAAAAATTATATGTATATTTTATTTTTAAGTAAATAGATATTCAATTTTTCTTACTACAAATCATCTCTAATAACAACATAATGAAAATAAAAATTTAAGGAAATATATTAAGCCTGTTATCATGTCTCGTCATTGTTCAAATCTAATTTTACAATCAAATAGGTTACATAAATTGAAGTTATGCTCTCCATTAATATTTTGTAGATATTAAAATATCTAGATTGAGGTTGTAGAATTTATTTATTTTTTTAAAAAAAAAGAAAGTACTTTTGCTTGAGAATAATGCTTTCTATCATAGCAAAACACAATTGCACACAAACAAGATGTGACACTTTAACCTTCACTTGTAAATTTTAAACCATAGGTATTTCAAACTTTTAAATTCCGCGTTTCGCTTTATAATATTAATCATAATTTATAATATTATGTCAATCTATTTTATTTTTATTTATTTGTAATTATTTTTATTACACTTTTTATATTAAATTCTTCATATTAATAAATATTATATAAAAATAACTTATTTAACAAATATTTTTAAAATAAATCAGCACAAATACATATTTTTTTATCAAACAAAGATCAAAGTCTTCATTCAATGTGACTCACAATTTTCACCAAATATTAACTGTTCATATCCATTTTACCTTTATTTAATTCATGTAGATTTCCCCCTACAATAACTCATCATTTTCCAGCAACAATTTCTTCAAATATAATATAAAAATAAACTCCACGAGAGAGAAATTTGACAAGAACGATCAGATTTTGTTGCAGTTAAATATTTTTACAATCGAAGAAAAAACATAATCCAACAAATAGAGATAAATTATAGAAAATTAGATCTGAACTTGCATATTAAGGGTAAAACTGTCAAATTTAAATTAACTTGTATTTATTTTAAATAGATTTAAAGAATGGGTACAAGAAAATGAAAATAATTGAGGTAGACGTAATATTGTAAATTACCGGGGAGGTGAATGTTATCGAGCGAAACCTGTAGGGAGGTCTCTGAAATTATCCCTAGTTTATAATATATTTTTTTAAAAAAAAATTGTTTTATCGATTTCACTTATTAAGAAAAAAAATATTTCTTTATACATTTTTAATTAATTCTATCTGAAGGGAGGTCTCTAAAATTATCCATAATTTATCATATTTTTTCAAAAAAATTATTTATCTACCTTTTTATATTAAGAAAAAAATTATTTCTTTATACATATTTAATTAATTCTATTCTTCGATACCTAAAAGTTACATACCAATTAACATCATATTAAAATAAAAAATATATTTTATTTATAACATTGAAATTTAATGAAACTATACGAGATGGTGTGTTCAGCTAGAATTCTTAGAGGCCGCTTAATCATGAATCCTACTTCATGTCTATATAAAGAGGGACACTAACTCTCCCTTAAAAGACATCTCAAATATTTTGTAAATTGATAAAATATTCGCAAATTTATATCATTCTAGTTGATCAAGTTCAAGTTATTCTAGAAAAATATATCACTAATCAAATTTAAAACATTTTAATTTGAGAAATACAACACTAACTTCTCTCAAATTATAAATAAATCTTACGGAATGAGAATATTCTTCAGATTATATTCCTATAGTTTATTTGTTTTTTCATATGTTTAGAGTTCATTGCAGACATATGTAAGGAAACACATAATTCGGTGACAAATAAAATTAGCAGAGACAGTAAGATTTTACGTAGAATTTATGATTCAAAATGTGATTATATATTATTTTTATGTTTCTGTCTAGTTTTGTATGATAAGTAATTGTAAGACGTTATTTGATTTATTATATATACTGATTATTTATTTTATTTTATTTATATAAAGATAAATATTACTACATAAATCGAAACGAGCTGGCAAGTGGCAATCGAGAACCTATTACTTTGAAATTATATTGTATATAGAAAATAAAAATATTAATATTTTTTATATAATGTATAAAAAAAGGGAATTTTCGTATATAGTTATTTAAAAATAGTTTAATTATTTTCTATATCTATAGTTGATAATTACAATTTGAAACTACATATTATAGAGAGGAGAGAAGCGAGCGAGAGAGAGCAAAGAGTGTGGAAAGAGGTCAATTATATATGTGTATCAATTTAGATAATATATATGACAAGCGAAATTGGGAGAGGGAGAGGAAGAGAGAGACGAGAGAGATTAGGAGAGGGAGGAGAAAATCGTGCGAGAGAGGACAATAATTTTTATAATTCGCATATCGTTTGTATGATTCGCATGTACATTTGTATATAATTCCATATTTATATAATTGAACAGTATAAAATCTGATTATACAAATATATTTCAATTCAAAATAACAAATGATGCAAACATAAATATATGAACTTTAAACAATTGTATCAAATATATTATTGCAAATAACATTATACAAATCATACTATACAAAAATTAAAAACTACACATTTATATACACTTTATAAAGTTATACGCAAAAAGATGGAATGAATATGATGATAAAATTGAAAAATCAAAGAAAGCACATACAAAAATACAAATCAAACAAAGAATTATTAACTGCTAATTGTATAAATGTGACGAATTATACATATACAAACATAACTAATGTATAAAATTAGTCATACGTGGTAATTTTAACAAATTATAATTATAATGACAATAAAATACTATAAATTTACGTAATCACATAATTTTCCCTTAAAATAATTCAAGCGATAGTTAATAATACGGAGAATTAAAAAAGAATAAATTTAAAATAAAATTTAGTGTTTTATTTGATTGTAATATTTGGGATATAACTTATTTCATTATCTATATCATAATTCATAGTGATGCAATAAATTATTCGCCTATTTCAATACATAATTGAAATAAAATTTTCCAAAATACCTAATTTCAAAATAATTCTAGACTATGATTAACTCTAGAATAACTTATTTTCGAAAAGTAAAAACTTATTTAATTTAAATTCTTCCACATACAAATTCACATAAGAGAAAGTACTAGGTAGTTTTCCTCGAGTGACACACATCACCCTTACTTGTTCATATGGTGACACGTGTATACCACCCTCATGCTACGTGTCACACTCAAATTTCATCTACCGCCATTGCTAAGAGCTTAACTAATACATCAAGAATTAATTACTCAGTAATTTACTACGTACGGAAAAAAGAAAAAATGCAGAGGCAACCAGAAAGGAAAAAGGAGCAAGAAAAAGAAATCAGAGATCACGAGAATGATAACAAGAATAATGAAGATGAAATTCCACTAATGGCATTGAACCACGTGTCCAGACTTTGTAAAAATGTGGAAAAATCAGTGGAATTTTACACTAAAGTACTTGGATTCGTGTTAATTGAGAGGCCGCAAGCTTTCGATTTTGATGGAGCTTGGTTGTTTAATTATGGAGTCGGGATTCATCTGGTTCATGCCAAGGATGATGAAGATTATAAATTGCCTAATCATACTGATAATCTCGACCCGATGGATAACCATATTTCTTTTCAGGTTTAAATTTCATTTCAATTTGATTCTTTATCTCAAACCCATAAACTATTTAATGTTTCAAAATTGGTGCAGAGCGAAGATATGGAGGGGATGGTGCAAAGGCTGGAGGAATTCAAGATAAAGTACTTGAAGAGAACGGTAGGAGAAGAAGAGGGAGCGGCGATCGATCAACTCTTTTTTAAGGATCCGGATGGGTTTATGATTGAGATTTGTAATTGTGAGAATGTGAAGCTAGTACCTCAACGTTCAATTGGCCGCATCAAATTCCCTTCTGATCGTCATAATCCTCCTGTTGAATTGGGGAATGATGATAAATAGTGCGAAGTTGGTTTTCGCGGTAGTTTATTTTCTTACTCTACTCTTTATCGTTTTCATTCGCTTCTAATTTTAGATCATTCAAGCTTTGAGCATGTCCTCGTAAAATCTGTTTTTAATTTTAAATTACTAACTCAATAGTCTTATAATTGGAGATAAGGTTGAACCGGAGAAAATATACGGTCCAATTCGTTTGGATTGACTCAAAAAAATTCGTTTGGATTGACTTGGAAAAAGGTACTCCTTCACCCCAAAGTTTTAGTTTATGTTACACATACATTTATGTAGAGATTTAAGTACTTTGAACGTAATAATTTGTGTTTTTATTTTTGAATTTTCAATTTACGTATACGAAAATTGAAGAAATTTCGTGCACAAATTTTCAATCTTATTTTACTTTCTTTCAAATCTCTCATAAATTATAAAATTTAAAATTTATTGAGACGGAGAAACTTTTAAGTAAAAAAATATAAAAAATTAAATTTAAATAAGAAGTAGGGGCGTACTTTTTATTTTTTATTATTTTTATTTTTTGAAAATTATTTTTACTTGTCAAATACTCTTAAATTTTTTTATTTTTTAAAGTCGTTTGAAAATTATTTTTACTTGTCAAATGCTCTTAAAAATCAACCATTACTTTTAAGTTATGTGAATTTACTTTCACATATAGCAAACAAAAAAATCATATTGCTATAATATAGCAAACTTTGCATAATTGCGCTCTATAGCAAACATAAAAATTGTATAATTCGCTATACATATAAAAGTGTATAATTCGCCGGCCTAAATTGTATAATTCGCTGGCCTATTTCGCTGCAATTGTATAATTAGCTTTGCATACAGTTGAATCGAATTAAAATGTATGTATATTGCATCGAATTAAAATGTATGTATATTGCATAATTATAAGTGTATAGCAAGAAGATATATGTTTTTTTCGCTTTATACAAAAACAGAAACACAATATATACACTTCTGTCGTATAAAGCTAGAAAAAATTGTATTTCACTGCAATTGTATAATTCTTTGGCCTTTTTCTCTCCAATATTTGAAGTAAAATGTTTGTAAATTATATAATTAAGTGTATAACATGAAGATATACATTTTTGTATGTGTATATACAATTTTTTCTCGCTTTATACAAAACAGAAACAGAAATTATACACTTCTGTGTATAAAGCGAGAGAGGCGAGAATGAGAGAGTGGCGAGCGAGACTTCTGGGAGAGAGACGCCTAGCAAATTTTTGTCTAACGTTTGCTATGGAGCACAATTAAATCAAACCCTAGCTATTCCATTTAATTTAGGTTATTAATTTGCTATTTTATACAATTTTTCCATTTTTAAATTCGGGCTCTTATGATTTTAAAATCAATAAGTCATATATATAAGCTATACACACAGCTTGTCAACTTTCAACGTGTATATTAACTACTATAAATATAGTTTACTTTATATATATGTTATAGTAAGTCCAAGAAGTTGAATAAGTCGCTGGAGTCGCTACGTTCGATTTTTGGGGGAGAAAAGGTCGAATGGTCCAAGGGAAAATTTCACACATAGCCATTTGAAAATAATTAATTACTCTTTATAGTTATAGTTTGCTAATTATAATTTGTATTCACGTGTTATATGAAGGAGAGAGGCGAGCGTGACTGAGAAAGAGAGGAGAGATGCGAGAAAAGGGAAAAAAGAGTGAAGGAAGGTGAATTGTATATATATATACATATATATAAAATTAATTACTCTTCATAGTTATAGTTTATAGTTTGATAATTATAATTTGCATGCACGTGTTATATGAAGGAGAGATGCGAGCGCGACTGAGAAAGAGAGGAGAGATGCGAGAAAAGGGAAAAAAAGAGTGAAGGAAGGTGAATTGTGTAAGAGAGGAGAGATGCGAGAAAAGGGAAAAAAAGAGTGAAGGAAGGTGAATTGTGTGTGTGTATATATATATATATATATATATAGTA